TTGCTGGGAACAGGACATTAAGAAACCTGCATTAAGGAGGGCACCAACTCTAACCCACTGTGTGATGACGAAACACGATGCAAGATACAGGTTCTCTTTCGTAATCATACTAAGGGGGGTAACAACTGGATATTACCCAACAAATCTCTCTGTTGGGCCGTTGACCGTTTCGTCAGCCTGATTCCCCAATCCTTAATCTGATCTCAGCAGCCGCCGTTTTCACATTTTCCGGCAAAAGCTGACGTGGAAAGTGAAAGTCCGATCTCGGCGTCGCTATCGACCGCTTGCATCTCGCTATCGGAAATACGACCGATGAAGATCTGGCGAGGACCGTTTTGCATACGTCTTGCGAAACACGGGTTAAACTTCCGAGTAACAGTTGCTTGCATTTCAAGATCGCGTTTTTTTTTTATTTTCAATCCAAAGGGATACCGAAACGCTTCAGGTGCATCCCTTTTTCAAGCGTGAAATTAAACTTAAAGAACCGCCGCGTTCATACAGTACTAAATCAAATGCGAAAACTCATTTTAAAATATTAACAAGGATGAATAACCTACCTCCTGACACCCCTTTTCCTGTATACCCAGGTGAAGTCCCACTGAAACGGACGTAGAAACGGCAAATCAGTCTGTATCTCTGCTGCTCCCTGTTTTATGTCGTCCTAGTTCCTGTACACGTGGCTATTTCTATAAATATCCCACTGCCGTACCTCCCCTCTCAATTCAAACCAGATCCGCAAGAGCTTCCAGATTTATGGCACAGACGCTCAGGAAATATCGAGCTCGCTCCCACTTCCTAGACGAAGGCCCAGCCCCCGTAACCTACAACACAAACCCACGCCAACGCCAACAAGCCTCTCCAATCCCAGGTGACTGGCCTGCAGCCGGAGGAAAATTGCAGCCGAGCAAATGTCCTGCGCCCTCTGGCGGAGAGATGTGGTTTTTCGGTCTAGGCTAGGGCATCACTTTAATTAATGGGAGTTGGGGCTTTCATCAAATAAAATCTGTGTAGCTTTCCTGCGTTACCTTTCTATAAAAATCAATCAGTAGTATTTACAGACATATATGAACATGAAATAGTATGACAGGAGAAAAGTAATCCTTTGAAGAAAAATACCAAAAAAGTAACACTTTATTTCTAAACATGTCACAACTTGGACTTAGTTATTGCAAATGACACCTTTGTTTCCCACTTATCCTATCTGGAACTAGGCCTTTCTGATCTCCTAGCCATTCTCTTTTCGATCAGGGATCCACTGTCTCACGTTCTGTATGTTTCTGCAACCGGCGATCAGCTGACCAGACTGGGTTTGCTGATTTGGCTCTGTCCTCATCGTCTTGCTTCTGTAAAACTCTGACACACTGGAAGAGAAGGCACAAGCATTTCATAGCTCTCTTTTCACCACTCTTTAGCTCCTCTTAAAACTCACACCACCTCCTGTGCTCACTCTGCTCTCTCAGTCTCTCACAAGACTAGAAAGCAGGTGGCATCTTCCAGGCTTGACTGTATATCGTAAGTCGTGGAAGGAGCACTTGAATACAGGGATGCAATAGAGTCTTCCAGCTTCTTCACCCTAGTTCCAGCTTTTTCTCCCACATCCTTGAAAGCAACCATAACAATCCTAGTTTTTTAGACAATAACACAGTACAGAAACTGCACTTATTAACACTAACAATCTTTTTATGGCTTCTGATTACAGTTCTCTGTCTATATCTTTATTCTGCTTGGCCTCAGTGCTGATTTTAATACTGTTAAGCATGACACCTTACTTGCTCCTCTTGAGACAGTGTTTGGAGTTTCCCAACTGCTTTTAATTTACTTAATTTACTGATTGACGACGCTTTGTCCCTCTTGGAGGTTCCAGGTCTGAAACTGGACTTGTTAAGTCTGGTGTTTCTCAGGGCCCTTTACATGTTCCTGCTTGATCAGGAATCACGATCACATGGTCTGAATGATCATTTCTATGCTGATGAGATTCAGATCTACGTCCGTACTAAACCTGACACTACAGTAGCTGTTTCTGCACTCTCTAATTGCATCTCTGACATAAAAAAAACATGAATGATTGAAAAATTCCCTCATTTGAACTGTGAAGACTGAAGTAATGCTTCTTGGCACTGTACTATTTGACCTACGTGTGCAAAATACTGTGAAAACGTCATTCTTCTATCTCAGAAATATCGCCAGACTATCCTATGTGTCCTATGTCGTCTCTGACTGTAGCAGAAAAGCAGATCAACACTGGTCTTCTCTAGAATTGATTACTGCAACACCTTCTTGCTGGGGTATCTAAGTCCACACTGAGCAAATTGCAGTACGTCCATAATTTGGCTGCCAGAATCTTGATCAGTTCGGGATTGTGAGGGAGCCGGAGCCCCTCCTGTCAAGCGGAGAATTTTCAGATATGCCCCGTATGGAAAAAAAGGCCTGTGATTAATTGCTCAGCTGTCGCCAGTATTAGAAGAACATGTTCCTCCATTACCAGCGACTCAACTCGCAGTTAGGTTGTCAGCGCGCACGATAACCACTACAGTCCTCCACGCAGCAGGGGGCGCCAAACACGCGACGGAGCGACCGAGCTCGCTTGCGCAGCCGCCCCAGCATGCCGTGCACAGCCCGCTGCGCTGCTGCAGGTACCGCTCGGATGGGATGCTGTCAGAGCGGCTCTGCTGCGGACGTGACTGAGTCAGCTTCTTAAAGACCTATATCGTTATAAAAAAAAAGCCAGTTGCAAGCTAGGGCACAGTTCTGCCTCGCTGTGCCGATGGCAGGCAGGCGTCTGCAACGATTAAGCACTGCGAGGTTATGGGAATGTACGCGCACTTAACCAAATCTAG